TGGAGGCAGCCCTGGGGCCGGTGGCTGGCCTGGTGCGGTAGGCGGAAGCCGGACGGGCATGGGGAAGCCCTCGCAAGCAGGGCTGGGCTGTGGGTCACTCACAGAGCTGGACAGTCTGGGCGGCTCTCTCTCCGTTTCCGCATTGGTGTGGACCCCGTCTTTGGTCTCTGGTCTCTGCCGCTTGGGGCTGCTCACTCGGTCCCGCGGCACGGCTTGGGCACTCTCAGGAATCTTCTTTTGTGTCAGCCCTAAACTTTGAGTCTGTAGTTGCTTTTTTATAGTTGTAGATTAGTTGTTCCAAGACTTATTCATTTTTTGTTGCTCTTGGAAATTCAAATAGCACTCTGGCAGCTCAGCGCACACTTCTTGGGCTCGCGCTGTCTTCTGGCGCCCCCTCTCCAGACCCGTTGCCATCTTGAATCGACCTTCGAACAGGGTCAGGGCCATTGAAAAGGCGTTCGCTGCCTGCTCGCCACCACCCGCCAGTCCTCAGCCAGGACTTCTGAGGGAGATGTATTTTGATTTGTCATGGTAGCAAAAGGTTGCTAGCAAGAAGCATCTTACCTTAAGAGCAGATGGAGGGATAATATCAATGGATGGTCATTTCTCTACCTCTGCCAGGCTGCTTTTCAATCTTTATTTTTTTCTTTCCTTTCATCATTTTTGTGTCTGGAATACACAGTTGCTGAGTCCTCTCCATGTATTTAATATTCCATGAAGAAGCATTGTAGAGAATTAGTGGCTACCTGATTCTTCCTAAAGATTCAGAGGTGCTGAAGCCTCGACAATAAAAGAACTATTATATATAAAATCGCTTTGGAATTACTATCCTCTGTCTACTTTCTTATATATGTAGATGTAGCTTAATGCTTTTGTCCTATGTGACTTTTCTTTCTCTTACTCAAGAAATTGCTGGGGGAAAAGCATAATTTTATACATCCAGGCTCCAATTAATTTTGCCACTAACTAGCTTTCTGTTTAAATTGAGGCTAAAAATGTTAAAGATTAATCGTTAGAAAGAAACAAAAAAAATGCCAAGGGAAAGATTATGCTATTATGCTGTTAGTCACAGTATATATGAAGATATCTGTAGTCTATCAAACCACTTTCTTCAATTCATTCAATGTTCCTCTGGTGTCTGAGAACAGAAGCAGTAAGGAGAAGCTATTCTAAAAGCATACAGGAAATGTATTTGGGATGATCTGGGTGACATTTTTTTTTTACTGACCTGGAAATACCTGTGAGCTTCAGTGATTTAGCACAGGAAGTCTCTAACAGCAGCCCGGACATCCTTCTTCTCTCACACTTTTTCTTCTCATCAGCATAGAAAAGGAACACAGAGCAGCTCTTGAATCTGGGTGACATTTTTTTTTTACTGACCTGGAAATACCTGTGAGCTTCAGTGATTTAGCACAGGAAGTCTCTAACAGCAGCCCGGACGTCCTTCTTCTCTCACACTTTTTCTTCTCATCAGCATAGAAAAGGAACACAGAGCAGCTCTTGTTGTCAAGAAGTAAGAATGAAAAGGACATTTTTTATATATAAACAGAATTTGAGGACTATTAAATATTTTCATACCTTTGAGATATGAACTATAGCACTGAAATGTTAACTGTTCCTATTATTCCCCTGGTTTATTATTTATTAGCTATCACGTTTTATCTTCATTTGTGACTTTTTGTCTTCCGCAAGTTCTGTTTCATGATTTGGAATAGATTGGTACGAATTATATTTTATTCACTTTCCCTCCTTAACACTTAAAGACTTGGCAAATCCTGCAACTTTCTTAAAAATGTAAATAGTTAATATGATTAATAAGTATATATTAGTAATTAAATCAATATATGATATTAAACATAACATATTAGCATTTATATATTATATATTAATATTAATATTGAATGAATATTCTAATCTGATGAAATTTAATATCCGAATTATTTATTTACTTAGAATTCTTTAATATGTGTTCATTTTTCCTACTGAATATCTTAAATAACTACTTAAGAAACAATAATTTTCAAATCTCACACTTCTCACTTTCTGATTACATCTTCCTGAATATGTCTTATAAGTCCCAGAGTGGCAAGTGACTTTATATGTCCATTCTTCTTGATCAGGATCAAAATGCTGTTTTGTGGAGGGTAATTATTTAAATTCCATCTTAGATGACCTAAAAGATGGCACAGATTGAAAGTGTTTCAAAGTGAAGCTATCTTCATACTAATTTAGCCTCCCTAACTTTACGATTGGCAATAAACCTGCAAAGTTTGCAACATACTTCAGGTTTACACACTCACTAATGCTTGTTGTTACTAGTCAATGCAAAAAGTGAACATTTTTTTTATGAGAGATGTTTTGCTTTTGTTACATTCTGACATTTCAGGACTCAGTTTATAAGACAAGCTGATTAAACATTGTGATTAAATTTTAATATGAGTCTATCAATAAATATAGCCCTTTAATTCTTTCAATCAAATTGTTATTTTCTGCCATCTAGCTTAGGCAACCATTCATTCCCAAAGAAGGTATAAGGGCTTATTTCTTACTTGTTTTAATTGAAATGGCACAGCTGTCAAGGCCTAATTTGTTATTTCAAAGATCTAAATATGGCAAGTGATTTATTTCTTATTTCTTAAGCTACTCTGGAAACTGTTGATAAATTAAGCTTTCATTTCTGTTTTAGATCAAATTTAATTTGTCATTTTTAATTCTAATAGTAATTTTTCATCTTGAGTCACCCTAATTTTATGCTTTGTGACTGCTTTCAAAATGTGTATTTTGATAAAATCCCCAAATTACCTAAATCAAATGTTTAGTGATGAGACCATGCATTGCTGGTAAACATTTTGTATGCATATGAGACAAGGCTTTCATTTAATTTTTAAAATCAGTTACAAATATGTTTATATATGGGACATATATAGATCTGTTGAAGAAATGGAACCCAACATTCTAGAACCTTCCAAATTCCAAACTGGCTCAGGAGCAGAGAAACCTTGAAACAAGTAAACAGAGCTATCAACAACTGAAGACCCAAAGATGTACAACATGTGGTCAGTTCACTTCATGGTGAAAAAAGAAAAGTTTTGATTGTCAGGCAATAAAAGGGTAATTTTTGCCCACTTACTCTCTCTGTCTTATCTCAGGCTCTCTCTGTGTGTATGTATATGTGTGTGTGTATATGAGGGTACTTCAAAAGGTTCACAGAAAAATAGAATTAAAAGATAATATGAATCTTCCCATGAGTTTTTTGAAGTGCCCTCATACATGTTGGTTGATTGATTGATTGAATGAAATAATAACAAAGGAAAAAACCTGGGCACCTAACTCCTTGGTTTTAGGACAGAACTTTTATACTTTAGCTGCTTTTTCATAGAACTCTTTAAAAAGATAAACTATGTTCTTGTTCTCTCTCTGAAGTAGTAAGCACAGTTTAATAATTCCATAAATTGAGAACATTAGTATGACCGTCAGCTTTTGAGGTGGTTGAGATGTAACATAAGAGACAAGCACACAGGCAGTGTTAGGTAGCATGCAACAAACATAGCCCCAGAGCTTGCTTTTATGAGAGTCCCTGACCTTTTACATTTTGGTGGCATTTACTTCCATTTCAAAATTGAGGAGTAAAGTCTAACAAATTGGGCAGTGGAAATATGTACATTTGTGCAAAATTCATCAGCTAATCCAAGTCTAAAGAAGCCATCTTTCAGGTCATTTTTCAGAAACATATTGTGTCTTCCAGAAAGGTGTAGTTGTTATTTCAATTACTAATGCCCCTGAGTTGTCACTGAAATAATCAGCTCTTCCCCAAAGACATAATCTTTCCTTTGGAACACAATTCTAGGCATGATGATATCTATGCCCATAGATACTAGAATATTTACTATAACTACTAAATTTCCTGAATCTTTCTTCAATAATAAATGAATGGAACAATTGCGAATTTATGTGGACAAGAGAAAGCTTCTTTGAGAAGAACTGCATCCATACCAGGAAATGAAAGAAATACTTTATGCTGCAATCGTCCTGTGGCTTGGAGCTATCCTTGGCAGAGCTAAAACTCTACCATGCTGGGTACTGGGAAAGGGGTTAGATCGTTGCCTTGAAGGTTCTATATTCTTTGCCCTTAATTACATTAAGTATGTTTGCCTATCATGAGCAGCATATTTCTTTCTATTGTAGAGATTATTTACCTTAAATAGTATGCATCCATGCATATGAAATTAACATACAGCTTTCACCACATTGAGTGCTGTATATGTCGCCAATCCCTCCTTACTAGAGAGCATTACAAAGCAAAGCAAACAACACGAAACAAAACAAAACACATGGAAGAGTTATTTTATTTCACATTACATGTCTTGTTTTAATCAGCAAATTGATTACTTCCTTACTTCAGGATTGTCTCACTGTAATCTGGGAGGGCCTTTTGAAAGCTTACAAATTCTCGTTCACTGTTAGAAGAAGAGATTATTTCTGCACTTATGACTATGGGCAATATATCTCTGCTTTCATTAATATTCAATTGTTAGTGGAACCAAATGAACAAACGCATTGTCTGTGTGGCAAGAGTAAATGCTTATGTGAGAGATCAATTTTTCATGAAATATCTGCTGAATTTATATTCTGAATATGCTGGTCATTAGCAGGAAAAACCTTGCACTGGGTTTTCTAAAGCATTTGAGGATCAAGTTATGGAATTCTCTGCTCTTAGGAAGCCACTAAGTACATGAAACCCTGCGTGTTGTCGAACCCTTCTTCAGTCCTTTCAGGAAATTAGATTTAACTATTCCCCTCCTAAGGGCAGAGAATTCCTCAACTTGATCTTCAAATACTTTAGAAAACCGAAGGAAATGGCAATCATGTGACAGTTGGGCAGGATGACCATTGGTCTCTGACTTAATTTTGGCAAAAGAATATAGTGAAATGAGGGGGAAGAAACCTTATTAGAGAAACTAATTTCTCGCATACTTTTCATTCCATTTTCTGTATCTCAGAGGTTCGTTTGAGGATTCTACAACCAGATTTTACACAGCGTGTGTGGTAGAAGCTTTTGCCTATCTTCATTCCAAAGGAATCATTTATAGGGACCTCAAGCCAGAAAATCTCATCCTAGATCATCGAGGTTATGCCAAACTGGTCAGTATGTTTCACACATGGTTTCTGCCCTGCAGTTTTAAAATGTTCATTTATAAAGCTGTGTTCATGTGCTAACAGTAAGATATCACTTTTCCTTTCCAATATTGTAACTTTCTTAAAAGCAGGTTTTAGCATAACAATTTTCAACTAAATATTTTTTTCAAATTATGCAGAAGTTATGAGAAATTAAATTAGCTAAGTTTGAATTAATAATACCCTGGCAAATATGTTTGCTGGCATATGTTCATAAACGTAAAAGGGCTTAGAGAAGTCCCTTTTTCTAGTCAGCCTTTTGCCATCCAAAGACAATGGGTATTTATATTATGGAAATCCATGGATCATTTTAATAGTTCAGATTTAAGAATGATGCTAATGGAAAAAATGGACTTTACAGGTAATGTTATCCAGGCTATGTTAATAAAAATAATAGGTCAAAAACTCTGAAGATTTACTGTGGAAGGGAAGTTCTCTTATTTAAAAATGAACAACTTTTGTGAGCTTTGGATCTGTCAGTGCCTGATTCTTTTAAACTTTTGGAAATTTTATTCAGCATACGGTTTGAAAAAAAAATCAAATCAGTGGTAGTTTATTAGTTGTAGTCTCAGTAAAATTGTTTTAGAAAAAATTAATTTTCTACATTTGAGGCTCCACCTTCAAAAGATTTCCAGAAAAATGAAGGTTACGTTTTCATTGTATCTCTGTTTATGTTTACCAAGGGCATAGTTAATATGTTACTCAGGTCCTACAACAATAAAGTGCCTTCTCGAATAATTAATACTAAAGGAATTATAAGCTTCATTAAATCCAGCAGAAATCATGTATCTTCTGGGAAAGATGTTAAATAGTCCCAACTAGTCTTCTAAAATTTTTGAGTAAAGGAGAAATTCTTCATTTCTTGTAAATTTCATTGGCGTCACAGGAGAAACAAAAATATTTACTGAAAGGCTTACCTTTATTTGGAATGACATGAATTTTATCTAATACTCAGATTTCAACTTTTCCCATCGAAACTGAGTTTGATCAGGGTGACTTTGTTTGTTTGCAATATAGATGATTCCTTTTAGAAGCTAGGACTATAATAACTTGCATCTGTTTTAATTTTTTCGTTGTTATCATCATCAGTATACTTTAGCAAAATTACTTATTGTTTTTTAACTTAATCATAAGTGGCTTAAATATCTTGTTTTTCTCTCTTTGTAAGGTTGATTTTGGCTTTGCAAAGAAAATAGGATTTGGAAAGAAAACATGGACTTTTTGTGGGACTCCAGAGTATGTAGCCCCGGAGATCATCCTGAACAAAGGCCATGACATTTCAGCCGACTATTGGTCACTGGGAATCCTAATGTATGAACTTCTGACTGGCAGGTATGGACATTGATAGGGAACTGCTAATAAAAATAAACCAGCAAACAGCTGCATACTCCTGCCCTTGTTGCTCTGATTAGACCATCTTAAAGTGCATTTTACCATATCTAGGTCCCACCCTTCAATTAGTTATGCAAATGACCAGGCATTCATAAAGCTGAGTCTAAAATAGTTCTTCAGGGCAACTGACTCAGCACCAATTTTTGTTCTTATCATTGCTAATTCTTTGTGTGTGTATGGGTGTGGAAGGACCCAGGGTCTTTCTGTGAGATTTTTGAGCTTAGTCGTTTAGCCAGCAATGAAGCAAGGGAGATGATAATCATATAAAAATATCTCGGGTCAACTTTTTATAGAGGTATGAGGACCTGTTAGCAATTGTTATATCTAAATGAAATGTGAGTGCTTTGCAGATTTTTTATGTAATATTATAATCAACAACAACTGAAAAGGCACTAGGGACATCATGAGGTATGAAACAGACTATAAGCTCCTCAAGGATAAATACTAAAAGAAATAAATATACCACCATGACATGTGCTAAGGACAGTAAGTAGTAGGGTCATTTATGACCTACAGGGTACAGAAGAGGACTAGGTTTGTCCAGGGGGGCTTTTGAAGAATATAAGAATGGAGCTGAGCTTCAAAGGAACAATAGCACTTAGATGTAGAGAGCAAGGGAAAGGGCATTCCAGGCAGTGACCTGACCTAAAGAGAGGGGCAGTAGTGGGCATGCACATGGAGAAGAGTCATGTAAAAAATAATCAGGGATCAGTAAGAGCCATCTTTTGAGGATCATGATTGCTGTACTTTAGTGTCTGGACTCCATCCCGAGAGGGAATCATTGAGTGTTTTCACACAAAGGAGTGAGTGACATGTGTCATGGTATTTAAGGAAAAACCAGCTGGTAGTAATATGTAGGGCAAATTGGAAGAGGGATGAGGAGGTTGGTTTGAGGATTATTCCAATAATTCATGTCCAAGAAGCTTAGAGTCTAGAATAGAGCAGGGGCAGAGGAAAGAAAGGGATAAATGTGGGGCAGCATGTGAAAGAATTACTTAAGAGAACTTAGTCACTACGGTGAAGATGAGAGGAAGACTTGGGACTTTTACACTCAGGGTTCTTTGTGAGGAGTCAGTGAATATACGAAACACTTAGATGAGTGTCTAGCACTTAATAAGCATTCCATAAATGGTATCAACTATTACTACTACTACCACTGCCAGGAAGAGCTGTGCTTTGATTTTTATTTGTGAGCATTTTACATTGTTACTCTTGAAATGTATATGTTAATTTCAAATAGATTATCTGTAACCTAACCTAATTTTACTCAATATTCTCCTTCTGTATAGAGGTAAGTTATTTTAAATGAATGACAAATTAAGTAGACATATAAAGATGTGAAAGATTTGGACAATAGAGAAGGTTAAATTTAACATATGTGCATATATGTGTGGATGGATGGATGGATAGATAGGTAGATAATCTTTCCAGTGTGCTTAGAATTGCTATAAAAACCAATCATATAATGAATAAAATCTAAATATTAACTAATAATTAAAGATGTAAAATAATAACCATCAATAACTAGACTAAAATATTAATCACAATTTCTACTTCTCCTTATGTGTTTAGAAATTTTCCTGTAATCAATAATTATTCCTTAAGTAATAAGGAAAAAAATGATAAAAACCTTATTCTTAAACATTGGCCTACACTAAACTGTAAGAAATCCTTAACAGAAGAATCCTTAATCTACTTTTCTAAATAACCACAGGGTCATGGAAGTTATGGAATAGCAGAACAGTAATAAAAATAAAGTGCTATAAATCACAATTTGTGTGATATGGCCAAAGCTAAACTTAAAATATTACATAAACACCATATATTATTAAAATCCTCTTTATGATAAGAAATAAATGAGCTTAGCACCCATTTCAATAAATAAAAAGAAAAACTTCCAGTCAAAGATAATAGAGAAAAAAACAGTCTTTATTTTCCATCTTCTACCCAGTGAAGTGATAGTGAAGATGAGGGAAAGGGACGGGAGAAGGCAAGAATAAAACATATAGAATGATCTTTAGTTACAATGAAAGTTTCACCAACCACAACTGCCAAAAACTGTGAAGAGTGGGACGAGACTAGGGATGACTCTGACAAACCTCCTTGGACCACAGGCATGATCCCAAAGTGTTATGCTCTTGAACGTCATACCTAATGATTTTTGATTAGAATCATAACATTTGCATTGCTGGATGGCTCTTAAAAGAGCAATGTATGTTCATGTAGAGACCCAGTTAAGCCCCACAGAATGGCAGAGGAACTGAGGTGAGGGTGGACTCCTCCACATATATCAGGTCTGCCTTGTAAGGTCCATAATGCTGGCCAATAAAATGACAGGGAGCAAAAAAAAAAAAAAAAAAAAAAAAAAAAAAAAAAAAAGAAAGAAAAAGAGAAAAGGGAGAGAAGCAGTCATTGCCAAGATTTCAGAGAACTCAGTAGGGCTTTGCTATGAGCACATGACCTCCTGATTGCCAAAAATTGAGGACAAAGGAAATAAATGATCTGGTGAGAAGTTTCGTAAGGCAACAAATTCTGGTGAAGGTTAGTGGATTTCACATTGCTTCCTTACCTCCGATCTCCCCTATTCTGTTCTTCAGGGTGGCTGGCCCAACTTAAGGATGGGTAATAATCAGAAAGTCCCCCCCCCTTTCCCCCCCCCCCCCCCCCACACACACCCCAACTTCTTTCTTACTTGCTGGTTTTGTTGAAGGATCCACAGACCCCCTCCAGACTCTGGAAAGGATGAACTTATTCCAGTTCCAAGTTTAGGTTCAACTAATCGATTCCAGTAACATGGCACTCCTAAAGCGATTGGCATTGAGTGAATTGGGCGCACCATCTAAGTAAAAATTGCAAAATACATTCGTAGAAGAAAATTCTCAGTGCCTACAGCAGGCACTCAACAAATAAGAATTGAATGAATAGAAAGAAGTCCTTATTTCTACTGATAGGCTTCCTGCTACTATGAAGGGAAACAGCCTTCGGAAGAAGCTAACACTGAGTATAGCAGAACGTAAAGCTGGAAAGATTCTGGGTCATTGAGCCATGAATACTACCTTCTAGAATTTGCCCTATCTCTGGACTGCCACTTTTGTGAAATCAGAGTCCTTCTTATTTTAATCAGTTTGAGTTGGTGTTTTCTGTTAATTTCAGTCGAAAGATGCATAAGTAAAAGGCAGCTAAAGAACACACAAGAGAAATAAATCAAAGACATAGGAAAAGTTCAGACAAATTTTTATCTACAATTACATTGCAGCTATTGAAAGCATGATCTCTCTAAAAAGTGACTTTGAAGATATTTGCAAGCGTTCGTAGATGACAAGAGAAGTAAACGAGCAGAGCTCAGGTACACTACAAAATTCAGAGTCATATTATAAGCGACAGAAAATAGAATAATTAAAAACATAGCCAAGGACATAGTAGATAGTCTTGGGAAAAATAATGGAAAAGGAAAAAGCATGTGGAAATTTATTACACAAAGAGGATATAGAAGTAAAAGGAAATAGAAAAAAAAACCAATTATGTGTATAAATAGAGTATTACAAATGGGATAGAAAAATATATTTAATTCCATAATAGAAAATTCATGGCATAAAGACTTGACTTAGTGTATCCTTTTGATCTGCAGTGACCATGGGAGAACTAATCCAGAATAATAACATCACAATATGTCCATGGGTAATTTTCTAAATTCAGGGATAAAGAATAATCATATTGGCATCAAAGCCACGAAAGTATGTCATGTATGGTGTTGGATGACAGGAGGATTAGAGTTCCAGTTGGCCTTCTCTACAGCACCTTCAGTGCCAAAATGTAGTATATCAGGAACTATGTAGTTCTGAGGAAGACAGAGAGTATAAACTAAGTAATGTATACAGTTACGTTATTCTTAAAATACAAGTTCAGTATATAAAGTGTGCACCCCAGGCTTTTCTCAAAACACCACTACTAGTCAACAAAAAGATGAGTCAAAATAAAATACTCAGGAATACAGAAACTGTTACAAGGATTCATTATGAACGTTAAATCTAATTAGAATTTAGATCAAATAATTTAAATTTGGGTCATTGAACAGAATGTAAATATTTTAATCTTTGGCAATTGTAAAATAATACTAAAATCAACAAAAACTAAGGTGGGAAAGGGAAGGTATAAATAACTATAGGCATACTTATTTCTCAGCATTCATAATTAATCATCTTAAATAATTTTTACAGATGAAGCATGTCGTTACAAAAAAGGTTCACATTTAAAGTTTTTAAAAATTTTTTCTTAACTTTAGAGAAATCTTTTAGAATTAATATTGAGAATTACATTTTTGAGATTTAGCACTTCTTTCAGTTTAACTGAAGTAAAATTAAATGGAATACTTTTTTTATTTTAAAAAGCATATATAATGTAATCCTGTGTATCTCCATCTACACAGAGACATGTAGGAAATAACGTTCATCAAATGTTGATTATTATTAATATTTTGGAGTGATGGATGATTTTACTTTCTTCTAAGTAGTCATATATTTTATATATTGAATTAATATGTTAGATTGAACATGCATCACTTGTAATAACCACAAAAATTATCTTTAATAAATGATTTTAGTTTTCTAAGTTAAACAAATCAATATAAAATAAAACCATAAATTAGAAAACCTTAAATTAATAACATCGGAAATCCAATATGTGCTTCTTCCTCATTTTTTAAAGTAAAAATTCAAACTGGCAAGTTAACTTGAGAGTAAAGAGAATATGCAATTATAACATCAAATAAAGGGAAAATTTTTAAATTCTAAGAGAATACTAAATAGAATTGCACGTTTGTACATTTTTAAAAGTGATTTAAAATTGACAGGTAATTACTAGCTAATGACATATTAAAGTAAATAGAAAGTACTTGTCACAGAAAATCAAGGCAGATGCCATCACAGCCCTCAGCACAGCAAATCTACTCCTCCTTATTTTAAGTTAACTTATTATTTTTAGCATGCTCAATAAAAGGAAATAGTTTGAACTGCTATTAATATATATGAAGGGCAAAAATAAAATAATCCGTAAGATTTCTTCCCCAAAGGGACATGAACCCTGTATTAAGAACCCTGTGTTAATTATTATTAATTTCCAAAGAAATTATTTGTCAAGGCATATCATAATCTCTCCTTTAAACTGTGGGAAATTTGAAGGAAAGATTTGACTTTAGTCAACTCTGTATTCCTTGAACCTGGCACACAACCCACTCTAAGGATGGATTGGTAAAAAATAATCAACAGATGTGACTCATAAGGGATTGGGTATTACGCTCTTGCTAGCAAAGAGGATGCCTTGTGTTAGATTATCTTCTGAGGACTGATGATCAGGGAGAAAAGAATAAGAAGAAAATTATTCTGTACAAGCATTAGTTGAGCCCTATATATTGATCCCTTATTATGTACGAGGCACTACTCAACTTAGGGAGTACCAGTGGAGAACAAAACTGAGGCTGGAGGGAAGACAGTCATAATACCCATAATCACACAATGAAGAGGTGATTTACAAAGTGCAACAAATGGCATAAAGGGTGCTATATGAAAGTACGATAGGGGACTCATTTAAAATTTAAACTTAAGTATTAGATTAGATTGTTAGATTATGTTGGTTGATGCAAGTTATGTTAGACTAGGTTGCTCAGAGTAGGCTTTTTGAAAGAGCAGAATAACATTTAAGCTGAGACTTGCTAAAGTGAGGCATTAACTAGATAAATGTGGGAAGAACCTCCAGGCAAAATAAACAATTCCCCAGGTGGAAAAGTGCTGGATCCCAGTGAGTGAGGACCGTGATGGCATGAGATGGGGACCCATCACTCATGTTCTTGTGGCCGATCCTAGTGATTTGGAATTTCATCCAAGGGTGATCAGAGAGTCAATTAATGTGAGAACGGTCAGAGAGTGGAAGAGACATCTTGAATGACCAAGAACAGCAAGAGGGGTTAACTACCCTCAATAAAAAGAAATAAGGGGAACATCAGATAAACTTGACCCATCTATGGTTTTGCTAAGTGATTTACTTGGAAGGGCTTCTGTACTGTTTTGCTGTGAATTAAGTTTCATTCTATTATCATTACAAATATAAGCCCCCAAATAAGAATTGATGTCATTTGTGGACTTCATAACAATTTAAATTGCATTCTTATTTAAAAAATAAAAGTACAAAATATCTCTTGTCGTGTCTCGTTCTTGCAGCCCACCGTTCTCAGGCCCAGATCCTATGAAAACCTATAACATCATATTGAGGGGAATTGACATGATAGAATTTCCAAAGAAGATTGCCAAAAATGCTGCTAATTTAATTAAAAAACTATGCAGGTAAGATTTTAAACTACATTATTTTTCAAAAGATCATAATGTTACAAAATTAAATTTTTTAACAAAATTATTATTTTATTCTTAGGGACAATCCATCAGAAAGATTAGGGAATTTGAAAAATGGAGTGAAAGACATTCAAAAGCACAAGTAAGTGTTCTTTTCTTGTAACTTTAGGTTTCAGAGTTTAGAAAACCTGATAAGAATTTCCCCAGGGTTGTTTTTTAAGTCATTTGTGTATAAATGATATATTTAGCCTATAGGAACATCCAAAGAGAGAATGTAGACTGGTTAGCCTTTAAAAGTCTTTTCTAGTTGTGTGTCTGGAACTTTATTTAGATATATCTAATGACTCTGTGACATTACAAACAACAAATTCACTGAATTCAGATTCTCACAACTCACACTAGCATGTTTTCCTCTCTGGCACAAAGAGGAAATGTGTATTTTTAATTTGGGAATTCTATTCTCCACCAGAATATTCAAACAAAAGTCCTCCACTGTATCATACATCATTTCCTAGACTAAGGCAAAATATATTTTTCTAAACATTTCCTAATTGAATAATATGGCAGAAAAAAAATAGAGGATAACCTTTTTTAAACAATAGCAGTGCCAAAAAGAAAAAAAAAGGAAGGAAAAAGAAACAATAGCAGTATCTTAAATATCAGACCTTACTGTTAACTGGATGTTCTAAAAGCTAAACTAAGCTCAGATTGGTTTTTCTCTATTAGACTGTCTGTGTAGCACTCACAAGAAATTCATGTCCCCATCAAAGGTACTTACTGAAATGCCTATGAATATCTTTTTTTCTTCTCTTTTTTCTTAAATTTATTTTTTATTGTAACATAGTTGATTATACATATTTGTAAGGTACAGAGTTGCCTGTGTACAATATGTGATACTGATATCAGGATAATTAGTATATTCAACATTATACAATGTAATCATTTTTCATGTACCTTTACCAGTTCCTCCCTTAACCCACCCCTCCCCGTATCCCACCGCTGGTCACCTCAGTTCTGTTCTTACATTTTGAAAGGTTAGCATATTATTGTGATTGTTGTATCTTTCTCTCTCTTTTTTATTTGTTTATTTTTTAGCTCCCATTTATGAGTGGGGACATGTGGTATTTCGCTTTCTGTGCCTGATCTATTTCACTGAACATGATTGTCTCTAAGTTCATCCATGTTGCTGCAAATGACAGTATTTCATTCTTTTTTATGGCAGAGTATTATTCCATTATATACATACACAGTGTGTATATATATATATATATATATATATATATATATATACACACACACACACACACACATGGAATAATACTCTGCCATAAAAAAGAATGAAATACTGTCATTTGCAGCAACATGGATGAACTTAGAGACAATCATGTTCAGTGAAATAGATCAGGCACAGAAAGCGAAATACCACATGTCCCCACTCATAAATGGGAGCTAAAAAATAAACAAATAAAAAAGAGAGAGAAAGATACAACAATCACAATAATATGCTAACCTTTCAAAATGTAAGAACAGAACTGAGCAGTACATATATATATACACATACACAGTAAATATATATATATATATATATATATATATATATACACATATATACGTACACAGTATATATATATACTGCAATTTCCTTATCCAGTCATTTGGCAATGGGCATTTAAGTTGGTTCCAACTCCTGGCCATTGTAAAAAGAGCTGCAATAAACATGTGGGTGTAGTTATCCCTTTGACGTGATGATTTCCATTCCTTTGTATATACCCAACAGTGGAATTGCTGGATCGTATGGCAGTTCTATCTGTAGTTTGAGGAACCTCCACACTGTTTTCCACAATGGCTGCACCAATTTACAGCCCCACCGACAATGTAGAAGGGTTCCCCTTTCTCCGCATCCTTGCCAGTGTTTGTTATTCTCTGTCTTTTTGATAATAGCCCATCTAACTGGGCTGAGATGATATCTCAGTGTGGTTTTGATTTGCATCTCCCTGATGCGGAATGACGTTGAGCATTTTTTCATGTGTCTGTTGGCAATTTGTGTGTTTTCTTTTTAGAAATGCCTATTCAGCTCTTTTGCCCATTTTTTAATCAGGTTATTTTTTTTTTTACTGTTACGTTATTTGCATTCCTTCTATATTCTGGATATTAATCCTCTGTCAGATTCATAGTTTACAAATATTTTCTTCCACTCTGTAATACCTATGAATATCTACAAGGCCTGCTAAGGATTTGGTGTAAGCGTGTGCTGATGGTGAAAACTTTCAAAGACAAAACAAAAAAACAGAAAAACCTTAGTGTTATTTAATCTTCATTTTCACAGAAAAGTTGTAAATGAAATACCTTTATTATATTTAAAAAGGAAAAAAAGGAGAAAAATGAGATACATAAAGACTAATACAGTGATGTGCAAAAGTTAATTAGCTGAGGCTGTGCACTGAATCAGCGGCAAAGGTGGAAAATTAATTTTCTGTGTTGACTTTCACGCCCTGATTCTACCTCTTTAAAATAAACTATCCTGTAAGGCACAAGGCCAGGCATTTTATGAAATTTATTAAATTGTAGTGATAGTGTAGGAACAAGGTCATGCAAACTTTCTGACTGAAATTACAAAAAGAAAAAGAGTTGCACGTTAATTTGGTTTTTAAAATTTGACAATTATACTTTCTAATATTTGCATTTCACAAATTAAGCTAGTTTTTAAAAAAACTGCAATAAAGTAGAAAACATTTTGTCACATGAAAATGTTTGCCTAACTGCTTTCCATCAGTCTGGTACATCACTTACGTTGCAATGAGTTTTTAGCTGAGGTAAAATGCCTTTCTTTAACTGTCTGTTTTTACTTTCCTAGATGGTTTGAGGGCTTTAACTGGGAAGGCTTAAGAAAAGGCACCCTGACACCTCCTATAATACCAAGTGTAAGTAGACTTTCCAGCCTGTAATTGCATGACATGCTTGATAGGTTTATGTCAGTCAACAAAGATCTGTTATGTATAAAGTTTTATCATGTGATCAGATTAAATAAAATAGAGCAGTACCACATTAAAATAATGACATATTCTAAAATTTAAGCTTAAAGCCAGATAAATTTGGGAATGGTTACTGTATAGGTGTTTTACCATTATCTTTTTTAACTATTCATTTTAATTAAAGCTTATTTATGAATAAAAGTTAATGTTTAGTATGGAAAATGTTAGTCATATACAGATGTAGACAGAAGGGTATAATGAGGCTGCAGCTGCCAGTTCGTCAGCTATGAATTCCTGGCCAATGGTTTTTCATTTATGCCCACACATAGTTTCTCCCATCCTCCCTCCATGTTACTTTGAAGCACTCCCAGGAACAATTGTGTTTCATCCTTCCACTAGGCTCTAAAAGAAAAAGATTCTCTCTTCTTAATGATTCTCTTAAGATTCTCTCTTCTTTTAAAAAAAAAAAAAAATCAATGTATCAGGTTTTTTGTTAAATAACCAGTCCATAAATAGTGGATGCTTGCACTATATCAGCCTTAAACAGATTTCAACTAATTGCATTTATCTTTTTACTCAGTACTGCCTCTATTGAATAACATGAGCTGCATCTTACTTAAGGGGGAGAGGACTGCTTTGTGGTCCTGGGATTTTCATTTATATGCTTCCACTCTCCAGGACTAACTTAAGACTGCTCTTTATACATATTTTCCTTACTTCTAAGATTTATTTCTGTCCTAATATTTGTTTATTCATCAACAAGACAAAAATGCCATCACTATGTTTCACATTACAGATGTTAATTGCATTCATGAAGTTTTGTTTTTAGAAGAAGAATAGAGTAAGAATCTAGGAGGGATAAATATTAAACTTGAATTATTCTAACCTAAATTTATCAGGGGACTCCTTTTAATATTAAGTGGGCTTTTATTGATGCCCTGCAGATTGGACTTTGCCCAGCAACTTTGCAAGAGTTTTTCTTGAGTCTAGAAATGGCTTTCTGTTATACTTAGAATAAACACACAAAATCCTTAAGATTGCTTACAAGGCACTATATAACCTGACTCCTGCCTACTTCTCTTCTTACCTCATTCCAGTCCCCTCCCCTCTTACAGAGCAGTCCTGTTGGCCTCTTTTGCTTACTTCAAAGCATGGTGCACTCTCTCACCTCAGGACCTTTGCATGTGTTATTCCCGCTTTATTGAACTCATTGATTCTTAGGTTTAAAATAATACTTTTTCAAAGAGGCTTTACATGATTGCTCTTATATCCTCATGGAACTTTGTATTTTTTTTTTCATAGCACTAGCCAAAGTTTATAATTACAGATAAATTTTTGTGATTACTTATTGTAATCACACAATTTTTTACTGACTAGAGTATAAACTCCGTGAGAATAAGAACTGTGTCAATTTGTATCCACCACTGTCTCCCTAATACAAAGCACAATACCTGCTAAATAGTAGACACTCAAAAAAATACTCATTGAACAGGAAATGAAGAATGCTTTTGAAAATTCTGGCTTAGAATTCTACATTTAAAAAAAAATCAGAAACCTTTCACTGTTCATTTTCTCTTATTTACAGGTTGCATCCCCCACAGACACAAGCAATTTCGACAGTTTCCCTGAGGACAGTGATGAACCACCACCTGACGACAACTCAGGATGGGACATAGACTTCTAATGCATTTCTCTTACCTGCTTCTGCCTTGCTGAAGACAGCTTTTTCTGAGACACAGCTGCCAGCAAACCTGAGGGAAGGAGAGAAGATTAGTGCTCGGGGTCACCATGATGCCTTTGATCGATGCTGCTCCAGTAACTACAGTGGCATTTGAACTTATTGCTTAGATGACAATAGTGCTCTTTACATGTTTTCTGTTTGAACCTAAAATAGCAGTTGACATGGTGGTCCTGAAGCAAAGCCTTTCACCAGTAAAGAGATGTTTTCTATTGTTGCAATGATCTTGCTTTGCTCTGATTATAATTTGAAAGACTGTAGGAAACACTTCAATCTAGTAAGAGTCTGTACCTTGCTAGAATTATCAAGAGGATGAAAGAATAATATATTGGGTACGATAGATTACTATGGTACAGAAACTGGGCTCTTTCCTTTCTTCAAGTGAAGGTTGTGGAATCTGTTACTGCAAGCCGGTGTACATACCGTGCAAAAGAGGACCACACATCTGTCGGTCACAGAGTTCATGTTAAACCAGTGCTAGAAGTTTCATGAATTTATCTCCCAGCAGTGCTGATGACAAGACTGAATGTTACCTTTTCTTTCTGACAGATTTTAAAAATTGATATGATAAAAGCACAACTGCTCTGGATTCTGCCGAGAGTTCTCATAGCAGGTCTATATGCGTTTTCACAGAGGATTGAAAAAAATGCATGACATTTGTTTGTTTCTTTTTGATAAATTGGCATGACAGAGTGAGGAAAAAAGCAATTCACAAAACCATTTCATATTCTTAAGAATATTGTGCTTAAAGATGGTCCTCGAAATAAATGAGTAGCAGCCAATTGGTTTTATTTATTACCTAACATACCCTCAAACTGAGGCTTAAAATATTCCCTTTTATAAAAATAAACTCTTGGGTTGGGAATGGGGTAGGGTGGGGAGAGATTAAGACCCATCCAAAAAATAAAAATAAAAAAACTATATAGGTGCTATGTATATCTTTCATCTGTAAATGTCAGTGTCTGAACAGACAACACAAATTCTAATCATTACATGTGTAGCCAGAGATTCAAGCATTTTCACTAAATTTATTAAACCAAACTCCTGTCGAATTTCACTTATACAGCATATTCTAGGGTTAAGGGAGAAAGGTGATTAAAAACTCATTTCAACATTAGCTTTTTGTCTTAGGCCTGAACCAAAAATAAATAAATAAAAGAAAAGAAGAAGAAAGAAAGCACAAGGTCAAAGCTATTAAGATTACCAAACCAGGAACTTCATTTACTTGAGGTCAGGGAATAAGACAAGAAGGTAGTCAGGTGTTGATTACCTTTGCATGAATGATCGGATGTGAGTCCATGCACTTGTCAAAGTGGGAAGTAGACAGGAAAACAGGAACTGATTTCCTAAAAGTAAATTTTAGTGAAATAGAACAGAAATCTTACAATCCTGAAATTTCACACTAGCTAGAAAAGACTAGATAAGAAAATATCAAACAGATTTTCTTTTTTCACATGAGGAAAAGAATCAGCAAATTAAACTGAGTCCTTTGTTGGCAGACCAGTTGACTATTATTAGCTGTCATAAGTAGCAGAGTCATTTGGGAGTTTTTCCTGGACAAATAGCATTATACCTACACAGACAAATGCATAACCTTCCAAGCTGTCATTCTGATTTGGAACTATGTGTGAATTCAGTATATTAAATAGAGGTTTGCTTTTTTCCAGAAGGGATTTAAAAAAAAAAAAAAAAAAGATCAATCAAATGTAGACATTTCTGCAGGGAAAAAAGAAACAAAAAACAATTAGATCATTATACCCTAGCCAAGAGACATATATTATGAATTTTGTTCAAATTTTACATACTCAAAATTACTTTAGAATATGGTATCTTATGAAAATATAATACTCTAAAAACCATATGGAGTATAAAAGTACTAAGGCTATATTACACTTAAAGTTCAACTAAAACTTTGATCCTAGGATATTACTATTATTCTTGTGTTATTAGAGTTTTCCCTCCTATACAATTGCTCAAAACTGATCTATTACCTAGTATGTCTGCTTTCTTCTACAGATTTTAGAATATAAAATTAAACATACCCACCTAAAATCCAGCTATGAACACGATTTCAGAAGTTTTATATTACTTTTAATTGGGCTTTTAAAAATAAATAATTCCAACATTTTAGTTAATGTTCAGTAATTTTTGTTGAAAAATAGTGTGGTTTAGGCATGCTAAAGGCTTGCTAAATATTAAATTTATCTTGTCTTTAGGACAGAGAATCTGCCTCTGCAACTTTTAAAATATCCCCAGAGATTAGCACTTACTGTAGATTTTGGAACTGTGGTTCAAGTCTAAGACAACCAATATGTATGAGTTCTATGGAGAAGGAAGAAGTAGCATTCAGCACGATGGAACTGTAGATGGTTTCTCCCACTTGTTACTGCATCTTTGTTCATTTCACCATGGCATGGCATTAGGATGTCTAAAGCAATCACCAAAAAATAAAGGTGAACTACATCTTTCAAGAATTACTAACAGAAAACATTTACCTAATTTTCAACATTGAATTTTAAGGATATAAATCTTGTCTTAATGAAGACACTAGGGCTAAAATTCATGGTCAACTTCATAAAGTGCATCTCACCTGATTTCTGAATCTTTCATGCCCCCTCTATTTTCTTACACTAAAAGCATCTGGATAAGTTAGCATAGTAACAATTTGTTTGATTTGTTAACTGACTTTCTTGTTAATACTTCAAGTACGGGAAATAAGGGCTTTCTGTGTGTCTTGACTCACGGGAAAACTGAAAACTGCCAAGGGAAGGAACATCATAATATTTGAGATAGATTGAATACAAAATGATTTTTGGAAAATTGCTATAAATTATTTTTATGTTTGTATCTTTATTATTAAGATATGAATCAGATCCATTTAGCATTTAAAACAAATTTATGTTGGTTATATTCTTTATAATTCATAATTTTTACTTAAAATGATGGGACATGCATGTGAATCACACATGTATAATAATATATAAACTCAACTATTGAATTTTTCTTGTTTCATTTCTAAATGACTGAACTGATGGTGAACTTAAATTTATAGAAGTCAGCTACCATATTGAAAACAAGGATGTTAGAACTGATTTCGTACAATAGAGGTGATCTGTGCATTATCCATAACAATGTTTTCTTTCACAACAGGACCACAGACAAATATTTATGTAAATAGAGATTTTTGTGTGATATTTTGTGGTACATATAACTTTTTTTGGTATTTCACAGCATTATGATTTCATTTTGTTTGTATTGAATAATGTTTTTAGGTCCAAGTAGACTTGAATTAATGTCATAATTGTCAGTATTATTGAAAATTATGTCAACTGTACTGTTATTCATCTGTCCCATAGTTTAGAACATGACCTGGCTATCTGGCATTGTTGCAAGTGCCTTAAATTCATGGCATCCTATTAAAAAAACAAATTTGGTGTTATGCTGCATGACAAAGACAAACACACCTCAAAATGTTGTCCTTTCTTAGCTTGCTGCGTTTTACAGTTCTTTCTGCTAACAATTTATAAGCCTTTATTATATAATATTGATGAATTACAGAAATGATGAAGTTGTTCTCTTATTTCTGTTAAATGTACCAGAGCTGTGTATCTGTTAATGAGATACAGCGTCATTTCTGTGAAATGTATAAATGTATGTGCAGGTCAAATTAATATATGACATACTATCAGTCTGTATACAGGTATTCCTGTTTTGCTAAGCTGTGCAGATTCAGTAAAAAAAAATCGTGCAGTCAAGTTCTAACATTTTTCATTTTATAGACTCCGTTGCCAATGGCCCAACCCAAATGAACAATTGGAAATGACTGCTAACCACACTTCGTTATGAAACCAATGATGAAAAAGTACCTTGGTGCACCACTCAACAAAACAGGATGCTTTCCCTGAGTTCTTGCATATGCAAATCATTTATGAGGCAAGTTTTTAACAGACCTAGAAAGCAAAACATTGAGTGTGGTGTTAGCCCTCCTCTTTATGTGCCCCTGCACCAACAGACAGAGCTCTGGGACCGTGACAATGACTCAGAGGTTTGGGCTTTCTGAATAAAGGGACATTTCTTTAAGCATCATCTATCAAATTTATTTCAATGTTTGATGTTTTTACAACTGGTCAGTTCTTTTGTATTCTTACAGCTATGGTTATTTGATTGTCCTCTTACAATTTGTTCTACATGAAAGAGTCCTTTGTTAGTCAGAATGCAACAAACTGTCATCAAATGGTCATTGACCACTTGCACTCTTTTGATGTAGATTAAAAACTTTTTCATAAACTTAACCTGCTTTGATTTGCTCTGTATTTTTCCTGCAGCTGTAATTGCTGAGTGCCTGTTGTATACTTTATAGAGTTGAAATAAAAAAAAATAATTACTTTTGAACTTAGTTGATGTTTAATTCTAGGCAAGATTCCATGAACAGAATTGGTAATATCATACTAGAATTGAAATAGTATGTAGTGCTTATCACTATAGCAATGTAGAAAATGCTTATAATCCAAGAGTTCTCCATGAAATAATGTCGCATTATCTAATATAAAACAAATTCAATAATTCAGTTTTAAGAATTCAATGGGAATAATATTGGGCCATCCACTGCGAGTAGTAAAGAAAATACACCCACACAAACCCAGAAATCAGCAGTATCTGTGCACCAGTACTACCACCATCACCACCACCACATACCCCCTTTTTGGGCTACCCATAGTCAATTTTTGAACTAGGCAAACAATCAAAGGGACAATTCTTGTAGCAGTATCTGTGCACCAGTACTACCACCATCACCACCACCACATACCGCCTTTTTGGGCTACCCATAGTCAATTTTTGAACTAGGCAAACAATCAAAGGGACAATTCTTGTGTATTACTATATGCTAGGAGGGAATTATTTAATACGAAAAGCAACTTCATGAATCTTTGTCTAAGGTTTGTTCACCTTATCCGTCTGTTAAGCTTTATATGTATAAAGAATATAGATTTGGAGAACAATGTGATTACAACACACTCAACTCTCCAAAATCCTACCAAACATATTCTTCCTACATCCCCTTGTTCTTCACTGCAGTAAACGATGCACAAATTAAAACTGGCTGCAGCATAAAGATTCCCTCAATTTGATTGTTTTTGTCTTGTTGACATCACATTTCCAGTGACAGTGGGCTGAAAACTCTTGTCTAATAATAAATAGAAATGCAGTCCAGTTAACTTTCTTAGACAGAAGCAATAAAACAACTTGAAAAAAAAAGATACTATGTCACCATAGTATATCCAATAATATTACAATAATATTATTTCTTCTGCAAATAGAACTGTAACATATTGTTGGTTCCTCGCCACCGGGGACCAACAACACAGGGCGGGAAGAGGACCCCGGGCCAGCCGGCGGTAACCTCCCGTGGGGCT